TTTAATCTATTATCAAACTAAATTAATGAATTAATATACAGTAAATAAAAGTTTGTATTAAATATTAATTACGAACTGTAAGATAACATGAAGTAATTGAATATGCTGTACCGTGTTCACATCTGTTTGGAATCTGTTTTTTTTCTTTTATTTTTTTTATTAGTGAAAAGAAAAAGAAATGAAATTCAAAATGTGTGCTGTAGTGTGGTGTCATGACGTTGTGTGGTGTAGTAGCGTAGTGTGGTGTACTGGGGACCAGAAGTACGTCAAGGGTGGTGGAGCAAAGGGAGGAGAATCAAGCAAAATCCACTTCCGTTACACTTTTTCTTCAGGTCACCAATCTGAAGTCATTGATTTACTCTGTAGGGCAGAACGCGCCGATAGAAGTGTAACTTAAAAAAAAACAAATTGCTCCCAAGATTTTAAATGAACCAGTAAATCGTAAATCATTTCATAATGTCTTAATTGATTATAATGCGGAATCATATTAAATTTTTTTGAAATTCTGCTTTTTATGTCATCTACAGGTAAGATTAATTCAATAGTTAAGAAGCTTTTTTTGTAACTTTTAAGTTTATACCGCCAGAAAGTCAATCTAAATCTGAGTTAGTTGTGTAGTTTTTTCAATCTTAATCTGAGTTAGGATTGTTTCTTGCTATTTTGAGTTGGCTGTTTTAGTTATCGAGCCATCAATATATACATGTCAACCTGACTAATGTAATCCGTTATACGCTTATCGTTTTCCATCTGTATGGATGAAGAAGATTTTGAGATGTATTTTATTAGATCTGACAGACTACAAGTTTTAAGTATTTTTTTCTGGCAGGAATCTCTGCAGCAATTGTTACAAAATTCAAACAATGATACGTAACGATCTTAATAGTCTTAATATTTTGGAGATGCACATTTTAGCGTTATTCAGAAAATTTGAATGAAGGATGAATTTGTTTTCAATATTCACATCTTGCACTTACCTTGAGTGTTAATGTACTTCGTTAGTGGTCCTTTGAGAACAGTAGCTGGCACGGACATGTTGAATCTCGGATACAGGATTTCAGTATCACTCCCAGTTGTAGACTGAGCTATGTTTGAAACGATGAGTCCTAACATCTGGCCGGTGTTGGGCTCTATTATAGGACCACCACTGTCACCACACTGAACGGTGCAGGTAGTCTGTAATATACAGCTTGTCACTCGTGAAATTATACCGTCACTTGAGCAGGGTGGAAATTGCGTCAGCGAAAAGCCAGATGTCATTACCTGCGTACCTGCAAAGTTCAACAATTTTTTTCATCTTATGGTACATAGATAGACATAATAAATAAGGTTCTTCCTACAATAATCGTTGTTTTCAATAATGTGTACATCTTTTTTTTTTTCAAAAAATAAATACCTACTTACGTAGTGGATTTATTTTTTAGGCTTTACTGTAAACGAGTACCTGTAGCTTTGTTACAGTAAGGCACATTTTACATTAATATTTGTTACATATTACAGTATTGGATACATATTAGATACAGTATTTCAATTCATTGGTACGGTGATAATGGCACAGAGACTACCTTAGTCAGGGCGCCAGGGGGGTTCCCGTAGCCTTTTGAGGTCTATGGCTCCACCAAGGTTTTTGTAATGCAGTTTTATCTCCTAAATTATAATTTCGAGGGTGGAACCTCGAAAAACCACGCAAAAAAAGTTGTTAACAATTTTTATAAACAAATTTGAAAACTACATTTTTTCTTATTATAAAATTTTTTTCTTATTCATTAGCATATTTTAAACAAAAAACAAATTTAAACGTATATACCTGAACCCCACAGTTTTCAAGTAAAAAATTCCCGAAGTTTTGAAAAATGCATTTGAATGCAAAGGAGCCTTATATTCTTTTATTAGCAAACGTAGCGTAGCGAAATTTTGATCAAAAAGTCCAAGTAAAAAAAATTATTAACTCGAATTATCTGCACTATGACTCCGACCGTACAAGTGAATAAATAAATTAGCAATTAATTTGATCGTCCAATAAGATGTTTGTCAAAAAAAGGAAGTTTTAAAATGCTGATAGAAATGGTCATTCAAAAAATCATGTAAATTATCGCCCATACAACACTGATTAATTATTGTAATGCACTTCATTTGTTGCATAACGGTTACCACACACGGTAGTTTAATTTTTAAAGTCCAACGATTGTGACTGTGGATCTTTGTTTTTAGCGGTTAATTGCTGTGCATTAAAAAAAGAATTCAAATAAATCTTTTTAGTATTAAATCAGCCAAACATTTCGAAAGAGCTTTATTGAAATTCAGAAAAAGTTTTATGTCTGGTACTATAAAAAAAGCTTTTGTTTCAAGGCTAACTTTTGGAATAGAGTTACTTTCCTTAAATACTGCATAATGAAGAAAATATATAATAGAAGTCATTTCGGCCTTGTTACACTTTTTCTGACTTTTTTTTGACATTAAAACGGCAAATTTAAACATAAATTTGTATGATTCTATTGATATCGTTTATATTAAGATGCTAAAATACAAGGTGTAGCATTCCGTGGACACATTTTTGTGCCATTCTGTGCCTTCGATTGCGACACTATATTTGAGGAAAACACGACTACTATAGCGCTGGAGAGCCTGTACAAATGAAACGAAGCTGTCAAAGTTAAAACATCTCACCTCGAACATATATAAATTTATTAATCAATAAAAATAGATGTGCAACGCCACATCTTGTATTTTTGCATCATGGTTTATATTATAACTTTAATTTAAAAGGTAGTACGAAGCAACTCGAAGAACGAAAAAAGTGCTTGATAAGCACATCTTTCTTTTTTCTAATATTAAAAAAGAAAATTTGTGTCTTAAAGCATTTTTTGATCGGAAAATAAATAATTAACTGTATATTTATTTGAATTTCTCAAACTTTTGACTTTAAATGATGCTACGCTGATTATTTTTTGAAAGAATGAAAAAATGAGTTAACATCGAGTATTTGATTTTCATACTTTTAGGAACTTGACTCTATTTTGAGAAAAGTTACAAGCAGAATAGTAAAAAAAGAATGGAAAAAAGTATTTACGAAAAATATTTTCATGAAACATTAAATAGACTTTTTTTAAGAAGGACAGGCTCTTACGAAATAAGCTTGAGTCTCTTTTTTAAACATTGAAATAGGTTATAGGTAGTTAGCATAAAAAATTATGGACCGAAAACTTTTTGATTTAAATTGTTATTTGTCTTTTTTAACATTTCAAAAAGTAATTAAAGTTTTTCTCAATTATATCGTTGTTTAGTTTTAGTCAATTCCATACGACCTTTTGAAGAAAAGCTGAAATAAAAGTAATAAAAAATAGTCAACCAATTAGTTTTTAAACTTAATGCTGAAAAAAATGTATCCTAAGGCTTCTACCGCTTTTGAAAAATATTTCACTCATTCTGCATGTAATACCCTAAGTAACACGAACTTTATCCAAAAAAGTATCATACAAAGAAATTTATTTTTTTTTTCAATTACTGAAAATGGTGTTTTTTTCTCAACTTTTTCTGGAAGTGATTATTAAAAGTGAACCAAGTTATCCCGAATTTTCACAGAGCAAATTCCCTCGAAACAGGCATCTAAAAAAATCTGTAGCTATATTTTGGATCGAAAATATTAGATCTGATACTTAAAAAATTCCGAACATCATCATCCATGCTTAGCTTAAAAATACGTGATAATTGTTCTTTATTTTGTATAGGGGAAAAAAAATAAAACAAAAAATATATGAATTCACCTCCCTCATTAGATTCATTCCATACACTCGGGTTGGGCGTGTGGTGCGTGCGTAGTAATAAATTTCATCGGTAGAAAACAATTTACCGCAATCATCCCACAATTCTCGGAAGAAAGAATAAAAAGCATACTCCAAGTTATACCTACGTGGCATAACTAGATATTTCGACGTGACGTAACAACAAGGCTCTCCCGTTAAATTGAATCACCGTGCACGCGCGCGTTCTCATTACTCTCGTTGATATCGTCATTGACTCTATCTCTACTCCCTTTTTCATCTTCCCGCAATAACGCCCAAGTAATAGCGCGATGAGCTCATCGCGTGACACACTCGGCATCGATACACACCAAAATACCACTAGTAATCAAACGTCATTACTGTACTCTTATATAAAAGACCTCCATGAATTAGTTCATCCTTACCTTTTGCAGGAACATTCGAGGCGATCGGCAGAGCTCTGAGGTTCTCGATTTTCTGCTCAAGTTTGAGCACAGCCACATCGTATGGCTTGTCATATCGAGTCGTATAAACCAGCCGCACGAGCACCCCCTCGTCTTCTTTCATTGTTGATAGTCTCACTTTGATTGGGGTGTTGAGGCACGCTTCGGTCACGACGTGAGCGCACGTGATGATTATTCCTTCTGGAACATCGACTACCACACCCGTGCCCCGGTCACGGTTACATTTTACCTCGACGAGACATTTGTCCAGCAAGTCTAAAAATAAATACGATTAGCACTTGCACTCGAGTGGTGGTTAAAAAAGTTTGAGACACATTATTGAAAATGATCATTAAATAGACCTTGCAAAAACACAGTCTCCGGTGGCAAACTTTTTATCGGAAAATGGTTAGCTCCCATGTCTGGTATTCTCAAGACTTTCCTCAGACAGACCCGCAAATTCGCGGCAAAAGTATAATCCATGCGCTCGCCGTTACGCCAGGTCAACGTTGACAGTACGAGGCCGCAGATTTGCCGTCGACTGGCATTTTTGCTGCAATGAAGATACATAGGTAGGCAAAATTCATAGAAAAGTAACAGTTCACTGAATTTAAAAATATTCAAATACTTAAGAACAGATTGGAAAAAAAAAGGATTGATGAAATAATGATAATAATACTCAACGGATCGTAAATGAAGAGAGGCGCGCCCTCACAGCCGGGTACGGCGATCGCGTCGCTCAGGATAATGCAATTGAGGTCACCAAGTACGTTGCTGACGATGCCGCGTGACAGCGAGTTTAGAAACTCAATGCTGCCAAAGGGTACCGATTCCATTTGCACCGAAGTACCTCGAGTAACTCCTCCAACATCCCAGGGTTCCAAATATTTGGTATGGAATTCCCTAAAAATTTATCAAGCATGTATCATTTAAACCATGGCTGATTGGACATTTTGTCCAGAGTTATATTACTCCAAAAGTGTGGTATTTTTCAAATAACGTTATAAATTATAAGTTTAGACAAACAAAATAATTTTTTTTCTTATAATTGAAGTCAAGAGTTCAGTTTTTTAATGAAATACTTGCATTGTGTTGATTGCAACAGCAAAATAAAAATCGTAAGCAAACCCGTGGGATATTTTATTCTTGCAACTGAACAAAAGAAAATATCATTGTTAGTGTATCAAAAAATCTATAATGCTTATACATCTAAAGTATGCTTTATACTTATAAGAAACTATAAATTCTTGAATACTAAAAGTGAATTATCAGTCAATTATAGGGATGGTTATTGGATCAAAGTACAAGAGGCAGTTATGACAAATTATATCCAGTTTCATGTTAAACGATCATTTTACGTGACAAATTTGCAATTACATTGCTTATATCAATGACATCTGAGATCTCTTAAATTTTGGTCGAATTTAGGAACAAAGCATGCTAATGTATACCAGCTAAACATCGAAGGTATTCTTTTCCTCGAGAGAGGAATTTGTGCCTAACTAAGTATATTTGTACAGTCTGCTTGACAAAAGCTATAGTCAAAGTACTAAAAATAAAACGTGTAGAAACCATTTTTATACAAGTTAATAAAAATAAATATTAAAGCAGTATAATTTTTATAGATAAGTAATATAATACATAGTAAATGCGCTAAACATGGTTTCGTTCATTCCCCAAAACGGAATTTTTGAACTTGTTAGAATCGTTGTATGAGTTATTGATAATGATCTGTTTTGGCCGCTAAGCATACCTTGTTAAGTAACAAATGATTCAGAGTGAGGTAAACGAAAAAAATATATAACATCTTCTGGAGCCTAAACAGGAAGTTGAAAGACAACAATCTACTTTGAAAAAGACATAAATATTGACTTTCTTAAACTTACAAAAATTAAAAAGTAGGGTAAACATGCGGTTTTTCAATATTAATTAAATAGTACCTCTTTACGTTTGAACTTTTTTCGTACAACATGTATTTTTCAGCCTTTTTCCTTGTAGTGAGTCAAATTTTACGGTAAAACCTTTTCCATGCCATTTTTCGCGACTTCTGATCAACATATTTGTTATTCGTATTCAGTGGAAAAAAATACAAAGAATTACATACGTTTGTTACGATTGCTTTTATCACATACACGGAACGAGCCCTAGTGCCAGGACTATAATTTTAGTGCACTGAGAAAAGTGGTGTTAGAAAAAGTGTTACAACTATAATAAAAATTAATATATTTTATAGGAAAGCTTAGACATACTCGCCATATTATAAAAATTGCTATGCTACATAGTAAAACCAGATCATATTAGAATTTGCTATTCAACGTAGTAATTTTTGCTTTGTTCAGAAATAAGAAAAATATATATATTCATNCGCCGGGAGACTCCGCCTCGTTCATCCGCGTTGTCCACCTCATAACAATATATATATATATATGTGTTATATGTACATAGATGTTTTTACACAGAGTACAAATTGATAATCATGTTATATACAATTTTATTATTTTAAAAAAGATCTGCAGCAACTGGGATTTCAGCCTTCATCCTTCGGCTTCCGAATCAAGCTCCGCAACCACTAGACTACGGGACATTATGTCCGTGCGCGTATGGATAAAGCATATGTGGGAACGTGTACTGTTTATCATACACACAATAAAGTTAAAAATCAAAGGGTTTCCTGTGGACCACAGTGTTGACAACGGATAGTTAGTCAATTCAATATTGATTGTCTGCACGTATCAATTTTTTAACCTTATACATCAAAAAATTTGATTTTCTTACTATTTACATTTGTATAACCTCACATTTGAACCACTCAATAGGTGTGTACACCTATAGACATCATACAACATTACTTTTAAACATAGAAATTTTTACTATACCAAATAGCAATTTAGTGGAATGAGAAATTTTACTATGTCACATCACAAATTCTACTTCTGAATGTGGGACATTTTAAAACGATTAAAATAAAGTTTACCATGTTTTATAGCAAAAATTATATTATCACAATTTTTACTATGTTAGACATAGTAGTTTTTATTATACTGTGAAATAATTTTGGTAGAGCTACTACATAATAAAAATTGTTTAAAACATAATAAAAATTATTTTAAACGTAATAATTAGCGTCATCAGGTGAGTATGTCGAAACTTTCCTGAAAAATATAGTAATTTTTAGTATACTTATAATACTTTCTTTGAGGCGCACCTTTGGGCTTATTTTACTCGTAGTGTGATGTACTTTGGGAAAAAAATTTTGAACACGGGTGTCAGTGAGGGTGACACCCTTTTTCCGCGATTTAGGGAAATCTTTTTCTCCCATATATTTTCTCTAGTTACCTAATAACGCGAGTTGTAATGAAATAAGCGTTATTTACATTTTTAACTTAAAAATTTACGTTATCTACCTTTAGTTCTTTATCTTACATTAAACCATATCGAGCAATAATAATGGTAATTAATGTTTTTTGGAATATCACTGAGAATTTCAAAAAATATTCATACAGTTTTCATACATAAGTTTGGCTTAGCCAAGTGAAAAGACAGTTAAGAAAAGAAGAAAAGATTCGTGAGAATAAGTCGGAAGTAACGTTGAGAGCATTATTAAATTCACGCAACGCCCGCCAGTTTGCACCAAAAGTAAACAAAGATTTTGATTCAGGCAAGTGCGTAAAATGTTTGCACAAGAATGACATAAGACTTATCATTCAGTTCAATCGTACATTCAATCAATTCAAGTCAGCATGTGTTATTATTTTATGTTAGTAAAGTGGTTTTGCAGTGAACTACATGTAAAGGCATATTTTAATCTTATGAAGTAATCTTAATGTATAAATTAGATTTCATTGCTCACTGTACTTATCGTAAGTCTTATTTAATTTTTGTGCAAGTTGCAAGTCTTGTGTCTTACGTATTTGTGCTGCAAGAGCAGGTACGTTATAGATGATTTGATTATGTAATTGATTTATCTCAAGACTCAGGCACTTTTTACTTATCGTATGTTAGAATTGCGTAAAAACTACTAGTGCGCAAGACTATACTACGAGAGGAGATTTGCGGTGAACGAAGCTTAACTAAAAAAATTTTTGATGAAAATTACAGTAGAATTCATTAGAAAAAATATTTAGATTCGATTTCTTTAATCCTTAAAAAAATAATGGGAATATTGTCGGGCCTAAAAAAAAGTTTTAAAAAAAAAAGATTATTTTTAAACAATCTAAAAAAAAAAATATTAATGAATTTTTGTAGAATGACTCAGGCATGAACTAGAGCCGTTGATGATGCAGATAATGCGTACAAAATTGTACTGTTGAGGATTAAGTAAGACGTCAAATGACAGTTGGTAAATGATTGAAAACAACGTCCAATTGGTGGTACTGTCATATTTTGTATTTATTTGAAAAACAAAACAACGATTTGGCCGTTTGGACCAACCCTTTCGTAAGAGAGATTTTTGTACCTGATGAGGGCTAGGTCGTTGTCCAAACAGCCGGAACGTAGTTTTTTTTTTTTTTTTTTTTTTTTTGTTTAAATAAATACAAAATATGACAGTTTCACCATTGAACGTTGTTTTCAAAAGTTGTATTGTGTATCTTAATATCCAATAAAAAAAATTTAGAAGTGATTTATTAAAAAATATCGCATCACTACACATATTTTTTTTTTACGCTTTTGTTAATAACACAAAAAAATAGTATCTGTGAGCTATAGTTTTTAAGGTGTTAATATGTTAAATATTTCATATGCTTTATATTAATACATAATGTTTCAATGAATGAAATAAGAAATTTTCTTGTAAAGCAACACAAAATTCGATTTTTTTTTCTTTTCTTTAAATTACGGATCATTTGATTAGATAGAGCAACCATCAAATCATAAATAGTTGTTATAGGAGACATGAAAAAATAATACAGGATAAGACAAGTGGATAAATTTATTGTTTGTAAATGACATGTAAGAAAGATTAATGCTACACAATTGTTTTTTAGCTGTTGAAAATAGTTTTTCCGTACCTTGGGCGTTTTTGAGGGTCAGGTGTGCACTCAGTAGGAAAAATAGGGTTCGCACCTGGTGCGTATCCTATAGATTATCTGCTGTGCATACCAAAATATGTAAAGTACAAAAAAGTTGTATTATTTTGTGATCTATAACTGGTATGAGTAGATTATTTTATTTTTTCCAACTGATTTCCAGTAGTGACGTTATTATTCAGTTAAATGTAAAAGAATTCTTGTAATTAAAACGAAACAAAATTTAATAAAATAGTTTTGGCTTTATAACTGCGTGAAGAAGCAAGATAACTCTTAAATCCGTTTAACCTGCAAATGAAGACCTGTACAATCTAATAATTTATACAAATGGATAAAATTTAATAGTAGTTTTCATCGGATAAGTGCCATCGTCTCTGGGGCTTATGCGAATCCTTTTTTTCCTACCAAGGGCACACCTGACCCTAAAAAACGCCCGAGGTCGGAAAAACAGAAGCGAATGTCTCTCGTTCGAATTAAGTTTCATGCTGTAGTTAATGCTAAATTATTAATTAATGTTAATCTGTAATTGATTACTGACAACCATGGCTGTGAATAAAAAAGCCTAAAATCGTTTGTTATCCTCAGCTTCGCTACGAACGATCTAAGAATAACTAAATTTGGTAAGATCAGATCATTAGATGATAAACTGTACTTTTCTAGTAATAAGTAAGTAATACTTTTTTAACACAGTTATTTTTTCTGTCAAACTCTTGATTTTTCTAGTCTATTAAAAAAAAAAATCAGCACCTGTCACCTTAAGAATTTTTCATCTAGAAATAATTATTACTGTGGTACAATATTATTTTGTATGCATGTTAAACTGTACTTCGATCATGAAACTGATAAGTGTATTTTTTTTGTTTTGATTCTCAACAT